CCGTGTTTGGATGGGGGGGGGGGGGAAGAAAAAAAAAAAAAAAAAAAAGGAGAAGAAAAAAAAGGAAAAAAAAAAAAGGGGGAGGGGGGGGAAAAAAAAAAAAAAAAAAGAGAGGGGGCGCCGAGACAAGGAAAAGAAAAAAAGTTTTTTTTTTTTTTTTAAAAGGTAAATAGTAGTTTAAATTATGATTCTATTGTTTTGGTCTAGTAAAACAGGTACTGCATGGCAAGACTAATACAACAGATGACTGTGGTTGTGTTTTGTTTTATATTGGTGCACCATGGACAGATGAGACACAGTCTATATTTAATTTTTTAAACAAATGACAAAAAAAAAGTTTGAATCGATGACTAGCCCTGTAGCTAGTCTCTGGTCCAATGAGCTGCCATCAGCTTGAATAATTTACATAAATGCATGTAATTAAGCTGATCCAGAAACTGCACAGGTTCCTCTTTAGAAAGTGTTGAAATATGGATATTAGATTTTCCACAAGTGCTTGGTTTGTTCTGCTGAAATACTTTGCTTGCTCTGTATCTGGACTGTGGTATGCCAGATTCCGCTTTCCTCTGTAAAACTCCTCGCTCTAACTAATGTCATGCGATTTTTACAGGTTCAAGACTGTGCAGAAGGCGGACAGCTTTTTAGGAGACAACTACCCGAGCAGCGGGCATCACCATCCCAATGCCGCCGAGCAGACCGTCCTCGCGCAGAGCCAGCACCATCAGCAGTTCCTGGGTAAGGATGAAGTGGTATGAATGCGTGACGTTTTAAACGACGGAACGATTTTAACCAACCCGATTCCAACTTGCAGACGCGTCTCGGGCCATCCCCGAGTTTGTAGAGCTCGATCTCGGAGACAACGGAGTGGACGGTGTCGGCATGGAGGACATCAAAGCTCTTCAGATACTGTACAGAGAACACTGCGAGGTGAGAGGGTGTTTATAGAGAATTACACACTTCTTCTTCTTGGCGATTTTTGTCCTTTTGAGGTGTAGCATTCATGTAAAGTGCTGTGGCGTTGATGTCGGAATTTTTTCGCAAAGAACATTTGTGAAAACATCTAAATGGAAATGTGTTTTGCTTATGTCCCGTTGGCTCACAAGGCCATCTTGGATGTGGTGGTAAACCTCCAGTTTAGCTTGATCGAGAAGTTGTGGCAGACGTTCTGGCGCTATTGCCCTACCAACTCAATAGAAGGCATCACCATGACTGAAAACAGGTGCGTTGCTTTCCAATTCTACCGCCCATGCACTGGTGGCTCAATCTTCTTTTTTTTTTTTAAACACGCAATCTAAGGTCTGTGTGGGGTTTTTTTTATACAGCGGGATGAGTGAGATTGAGGGGCGTCTGCCACGTGCCAGGCTGTTGCTGCTGTGCCAGAGCGAGGCCGTGCTAAAGTGGATGAACACCTGTGATCACCTGATGTACCAGGCACTAGTGGAGATCCTCATCCCTGATGTCCTCAGACCCATTCCTAGTAAGCAGTGACATTATTGATGGATTGGCTGGTTGAATGGATTTAATCCGAATATCGATGAGCTAATCATCGAGACACATCGAATTACTGCATGTTATTCTAAACAAATAGACAGCCTGATTGACAGTAAACACTGCATACTGTACCTACATCATTCCTTTCCAGGTGCCTTGACTCAAGCCATCCGTAACTTCGCCAAAAGCCTTGAGGGCTGGCTCACCAACGCCATGAGTACCATTCCCCAGAAGATGATCCAGACCAAGGTTAGCCAACACTGCTAGCTAACTCCATGTGTTCTATAAACCAAAATTCTCTCAGTTCCTTGCAGTCATCAGTAGAAATGCTGCCGGATTTGAAGGATTGTTATTGTACAGTTACTCAGTAATTTATATGAAGTTATTCATATAATTTGCATTGTGTTTGTATGGCTAGTTCGAACAAAAGGTAATCGTGGAGAGTTAATTAGATAAGCAAGGATGGGAAGATAATTAACAATAAGGTGGTGTTCAGCTTGCCACCTGAATTGGAACTGGAAATTTTTCAACACCAGCATATCCTGAAGTTTTTCGTTCCTCTTGTACCGCGGAAATGTGCCAATTGATAGGAACGATTTAATATAAAGACGACACATACAGTTTATAGGTCTATTTAAAGTTATGGTATAACGTTTATTAGCACACGCCAAACGTTTACATGATTCCGTAGAAGAAAAAGCATTTGTGAAGATGTAGATTTCCTCCCTCACACACCTTCAGCACTTTGCTTCCATCAGCAAGTAAACGTCAGCCAGCAGCCGATACAACAGGTCACGTGACATTAATTTGTAACACCCTGTTCTTAACGTAACCCTGTTCTCCGTGCCTCAGGTATCCGCTGTTAGTGCCTTTGCGCAGACCCTGCGCAGATACACGTCTCTGAACCACCTGGCCCAGGCGGCGCGTGCTGTCCTGCAGAACACCTCACAGATCAACCAGATGCTTAGTGACCTGAACCGCGTGGACTTCGCCAACGTGCAGGTTAATCTCGGTTTAAAAACGTTTGTGTACCCAGAGTGACATTTAAAAGGTTTTCAGTGCAGAGTATGTCTTGTACTGGGATCAAATTACTGAGTAGTGTCTGGATTCTTGGTCCATTTTTATGAAAACCATGTCAGCAGGAAGCTGTAGTCTTAGCAGTACTAACGTGTGTGTGTGTGTGGTGTGCAGGAGCAGGCATCATGGGTCTGCCAGTGCGAGGAGGGCATGGTGCAGCGACTCGAGCAGGACTTCAAGGCTACACTGCAGCAGCAGAGCTCCTTGGAGCAGTGGGCCACCTGGCTTGACAATGTCGTCAGTCAGGTCCTCAAACCCTACGAGGACAGGCCAAGTTTCCCTAAAGCGGCCCGCCAGTTCCTGCTCAAGTGGTCCTTTTATAGGCAAGCTCCGGTTCCTCATGCCACACAGCCTCCTCTCTACTGTTCTTCTGTTGTGGTGTTATTGCCACCATTTTTCTTTTACTATTGAGTTTCACTGGGCCTCTTATGTGGGTGCCTCAAGCCAACCTTATCGGACATATAACGTTAGAGGACTTGTATTATATACTCCAGACTCTAAAGGACTGTTTTTATTATCTCAAACAATTTAAGATGCAGGGAAATGGCCCACAATGATGTCTTTTCTCACTCTCATTCCTTGCACAAGTTCATAAAGAATTTTAGGACTGATCTAAAGAAGAGCTAATGGGTTTCTGAATTATATATAATTTTGACATAAGTGAGAATTGACCAGATTGTCACAATTGTAACGAAGCAATTTCCTCTAATAGTGGCTACAGAAATTAAAATAAATAAATGTTTTTGCAACTCCGCCTTTTTACAACCTCAATTCTGCAAAAGTTGGGACAGTATGGAAAATGCTAATAAAAACAAAGAGGAGTGATTTTGTAAATGTTCTTTGATTTGTATTTAAACAAAAGACGTCTAAAGTTTGGTTTATTTGAAGATAAACTATTCTTTTGAAATTGATGCATGCAACGCATGAAAAATGTTGGGACCGGGGCAGTTTAGAACTAATAGCGATGTGAGAAGTTGAATTAAGAAGGTGATGTGAAACAAGTGAGGTGATCGTCTAATCATAGTATTTAAGGTCCTTCAAGAGCAATTACGGGTCGAGGTTCACTGATCTGTCAACAGATGCGTCAGCAAATAATCCAACACTTCGAGAAGAACATTTCCTAAAGACACATCGATAGGGTTGTGGGCATTTCATCTTCTACACGTGCACAGGATAATTTGAACGGATTCCATGAATCTTTTAATCCCTGTGTCTTAAAAACCGTGAGGAGTCTGTAATGGGTATCCTGACATGGGTTTGGGAGTACTTTGGTTGATTGACACTATTCGCCGCTGCATCCACAGTTGCAAGTTAAGGCTTTACTATGCAAAGCAAAAGCCGAACATCAACACTGTCCAGAAGCTCCGCCCGCTTCTCCAGACTCGGTCTCGTCTGAGATGGACAGTAGCAGAGTAGAATCATGTTTTGTGGTCCTACAGGTCGACATTTCAAATAGTTCACATTCTGCCCGGATTACAAGCACATGGTTGCATGTTTTTATTTTGTTTTGTTTTTTTTGCAGTTTCCATACTGTCCCAACTTTTTTTGGAATTGGGGTTGCACAAGTTACACGAGTTCCATTTGATTAAAAAAAGCACTTCAAATTTTAAGCATGTTTTACGGCATTATCTAAGAACAATAAGTTTATAAGCGTAGCTAATCTATAATCTGTTCAAGTTTGAACTTTTAAACTCTTATTGTGTTACTCTGCAGCTCGATGGTGATCAGAGACTTGACCCTGCGCAGTGCTGCAAGCTTCGGCTCCTTCCACCTGATCCGTCTGCTCTACGACGAGTACATGTTCTACCTGGTGGAGCACCGTGTTGCCCAGGCAACCGGAGAGACACCTATAGGGGTTATGGGAGAGGTATGTATTTTCCTCATCTAAAATATCCTAATTTTTATTTATTTACTATTTAGTGAAAATTTATTTATTTATTTTTTTATTGTCAGATTAAATTCCGTTTTGGTCTGATGGGTTTGTGAATTGATTAGTCATTAGCTCCAGTAATACCACAGCACTCTTGTATTCATAAATCTAATTCAGGGGCCCACATACAGCCTAATTAGATGTCAAGTGTGTCGGGACAGTAAAATCATTGCATAATTACCTATAAATGACCATAAGTCTGTGTTTTTCCCTTTGTTTTCATGCAAAGTACAAGTACATTAGGAAAAATCTTCATATTTAATGAAGTATCCTTTTACAAAAGGATACTCCGCTTTCTTAAGACAAACATGTGCAATGTGAATGATCATCAGAAGCACATGTGTGCATTACAACTGCTCACAGTGTAATAACTAACAGCAGAAGGCGCATCGCTGCCATCTGCTGTTTGGTCTGAGTTTTTCGGGCAAGTGTCTTCTACTCTCACTAAAACAGTGCGCCCCTAGCGGATAATTTAGGAATAGCATTTTATTAACAATTTCTAGTTTGTGTGGCTTAGTGGTTAGCACGTTTGCCTGACACCTCTAGGGGCCTGGGTTCGATTCCCGCCAGGGCCATGTGCGTGCGGAGTCTGCATGTTCTCCCCGTGCTGTGGGGGTTTCCTCCGGGTACTCCGGTTTCCCCAGTCCAAAGACATGCATGGTAGGTTGATTGGCGTGTCTAAATCGTCCGTAGTGTATGAATGGGTGTGTGAGTGTGTATGTGATAGTGCCCTGCGATGGACCGTCACCCAATCCAGGGTGTACCCCGCTTTGTGCCTGATGCCTCCTGGGATAGGCTCCAGGTTCCCCGCGACCCTGAAGAAGGAATAAGCGGTTGAAGATGGATGGATAGTTCGTGTCTTTTATGCATTTTTTTTTACACTTTCAAAATTCATCCTGCGGGCCGGATTGAACCCCCTAGCGGGCCACCCCTGATCTAATTGGTCAGAAAATAAATTGTTAACAGTGGCTCAGATTGTAATTCTTGCTGTAATACAAATTAAAAGTTTCTGATATGGGATCAGATATGGCTATTTCAGCCATAGAAACATGTTTTGCAGATGTTTCAACAACATTAAATGGTTTGTCATGTTCGTTGGGATGTTACACACATGTGGAAAATAATCAGCTTTGGGTTGGATCACACCATGCTGCTATTGATTATTTTCCTTTTAACACGATACCTCTAAGTAAACCAGTTCTGTCAATTATTTCCCCCTGATAACTCCTCAGCATCTCCGTAACTCCTGATTAACTGCCCCATCGATCCCTGACTGAGCTGTTGGAAGACTTGACATATCAGATTTTGTTTGCCTGTCTTGCTGTATGAGCTGTCTCTTGAACAGATTTGTTATTTTCCAACATTTGTTGGCAGCAATACCAACTGAATGGCATGAGTGGTTGTTTTGGCATATTAATCAGACCACTCATTGTGAGCATGTAAATCTTAGGCTGTTCCCAACGTGCGCGCACACACACACAAACTTTTGTCCTTAATACACATTTGAATGCCCTAACATTATACAGTCCTGATTTAATAGTGTGTAGTTTTGTTTTTGTTTGAAACATTTACCCTTCTGCCCTTTTTCAGTTTGATGACCTGAATACTATGTCACCTACCAACATTGATAAAGGTAAGCGTGCTTAAACCTTGGCCTGCGAGCTGGATTCTGGTTTCTCCAGCGCTCTGTTGTGCATCAGATCTAACCGCAATGTCTGTGGAAGTGAATCATTAGTTCTGGTAAAAAATACTGGGAATCATACTCCATCATACTGACTTGAAGCATTTGTTCCATATACCAGATGAAGTAAGCGAGATGGACAGTGAGCTGGACGAGGAGATGCAGGAGGCAGGGGAGCCGCTGGCCAAGCAAGAGAAAGCGGAGGCAGAGGTGATTCAGGTGCTGCAGGTGGGGACTATGGAGGATGGAAGCAGCGCTGTAGTGGGCGTGGTGCAGCCGGACATGCTGGGTACAATGGGGATGCAGCAGCAGTCCACCATCCGTCACTGCAGTGGGGCTGGCAACGCCTATGCCTCTGTGTGACACCTTCACCAGCGCTCTCTCAAATCTTTTTTTTTTTTTTTTTTCTTCTTTTTTTTTCTTTTTTTTAACCCTCCACATGACACCTAGTTATATTCATTTACATCTCATCTGTCGACATATAACACGCTCTCTTCTGTTCAGCAGGGTCTGATCACATCACTACATCAGCAGATGCTTCAGTCCAGCACTGCCATTATATGAACTTCATTTATGTGATCAGTTTATTTGATTCCGAGCAGCCCTTGAAGGAGAAAAGGTGCTCGATGTTAATGTCCCTACTCTGAAAATATGGGTCATTTTTATTTATTTTTTTGACCAGATGACCAAGAACTCAAATCCACGCCACTAGCTCCACAGGAAAAACACATCACTGAAGCTCAATGTATTTGTACTGTTGGTCATTGTTTACGTTTGTCCCCCCCATGTAGCTTTGTCAGAGTTGGAAATCTTGCTGTGTATCGTGCTGCTATAATCTCAAGCGAACTGTCCAGATATGTCCAGCCTCCTCCTTGCCTTCTGTTTGTTAATCAGTCTCTTGGTCTGAACTTAGGAGAGGATTAATTTCACATCCTCTACAGTCTGTATCCAGTGCAGACCTTTTTTTGTTTGTTTTGATTGGACCAAAAAAAAATCTTTTTTTTTTTTTTTTAAATAGGAAGTGTTGATATTGGCTGTTCCAGGCTTCACGTCCTCTCTCGCACCTGTGCTGTGTCATAAAACCGAGCTAATGTCAGGGATTTAATGTACCTCGGGTTCATGCTAGTGCCTTAACCCAGCAACAGCTTTTCCGTTTTGTTGAAGCTACTGTATCGCACTGAGGGAGGCCGTTCCTTTTCTACTAGAACACTCGCTGCAAAGAAATATTCACTGCTAGATATCTAACACCTGGACTAGTGGCTGGATTTGTAATCCGTCATCAGCGTGAGATGATTCGAATTGTCGACTGATTGTTTTTAGTGAGGGATTTGTGTGCGTTTCCGTGTGCGTGTCTGTTCTGTCGTCTGTGTAACCGTCACCCTACCTCACACCAGTGGTGCCAGCCGTTGGACGAACGCCCCACAAGGTTTGATGTGCGCTGCGTCGTACTGTTTAATCTCGTCGATTCATCGTTCATTCCCTTTGTTACACACTGGATATCTACCGGGGACCAAAACTTGCTCTTTGCTATGATTATACAAAAATATATATATTGGTATAAATATATATACGTATATATGATTATATGATAAATCAATCCATAATTTTGTGTGGTGTCGCTGTTGTAGCTCTTTATTTTGATTGGTCGATCCGTGCACTGACTGTGAAGGGAGTTCAGACTGTATGCCATTTTACTCAACAGGAGACTTTGATGCATTTCATTCAGAGATTTGTGGGTCGGGGGAAGCATCCAGTACATCTGAGATTATTTATATATTTACATAATAAAACTAGTCTGTGTAGCTGCACTCCTGTAAAAGCCACAGACTATAGAATGGACTGCTTTTTTTATTATTATTATTATTATTATGGTATTTGGACTTACTGATTGTTATGTAATGGAAAAAAACCCCACTTTACTACTGATAAGGTTTTTTTTTTATATTATGATTTTGTCTGCACAAATCTTCACATACTCGTTTCTATCTCTTCGATAGCGAGGTAAAGTGTCGATCACGGCCTTGCATAGAGTACTTTCTTTTCAACGCCGAGTGCAATCTGTGAACTGGAATAGGAAGAGTCGCTTTCTATTCAGCAACAAGCTGTTAGCCACCAAGTCTGACCAAACCTGAGGCAGCTGACAGGAAATACAGAGATTGTGAAACTGAGCTGTGTGATTATCTGCCACTTTTTGCATCGATCGTGTTTTAATTTAGTTCCTTCGTATGAATGTGAGACGTTTTTGTCGTATCCTCTTGTGCCTGGAGTGAGAAGAGCTCTTAACCATCAATTAGTTGTAAACAAAAGTGCTTTTGGTCTTGCATGCTTTTTGTGCTGCTAGAATGTCAAGATTTCGCAGTTGTTTTTTTTTTTTTTTTAAATAAATATATAAATTATATATATATATATAAAAAATATATTGTGCCAGTGCACAATAATGTTCTATCTTGCCTGTTGAGTTTTTGCCATTAACTACAAGCCTACTGTTTTAATTCAATTTGCAGACAATTTATTTGATTAAGACCCCAAATGTTGTATGTCGCACTGAAGTTGACCTTGCTAGATTTGACGGCTGTGTCCCAAATCACATATTACTGTGTTAAAAGCATTCCAAGGTCAAACATTAACGAGAGCAAACTCACTGGATGTTGTCTTTATTTTATTTTTTATTTTAAAGGGAAAAATTTGCTTGCACTAGTGCGTTATTGAGGTAAACGGTCATTTCTCTATTGGAGGGTGGAGACACAGCTAATTTCTAAGCAGTAGCTGTACTTGAATTTAACTCTCGACAAAGGAAACAGCTAACCAACATGTCCTGTATAGTGAACTATGCAGATTAGGATGTAACTGAGCCATTTAAGAGTCACCTTTTAAAATAACCTTTCAAAAAAGGCCACGTCCCAAATTGCATACCATGAGATCGGGTTGGGTTGTGATGACCGATATCTTACTTAGACTCTACCAGAATACAATTGAGATCCCATGCTCCTGAGAAATATATATTTTTTAAACATTAAGTCCAGCAAACCTGCATTAAATAATGCATAGCATGTACGATAGAAATGTCTGAGTATTATTTCCCCCCTCCGTTTCCACCCGTCTAATTTTCATGTGCTAAAATATGACGGTATGCTGTTTGGGAAGTAGCCGAACTCCGACTCGATGCCCTACTATACTAAATCGTGCATTTTCACCCCTCGAACGCTGGAGGACATACGCCACACTGTTTAGTGCTATAGCGTGCAGGTTTTGGACAGCGCTGACTCTAATCTGATGTGAGGTATGCATCATTTAAAGGCTGTGAAGAATACGTGACTTAAACATATCAAACCCCCTGAGCTGGAGTGAACAGGAAAAGGCTCTTCTAGTTCTAGCAAGGCAGCTTCACTGGTAAAGAGACTTCAGTGCCTTCAATTTCACCAAGACCTCCTGGAGCAGACAAAATGTTTGCCCACTTCTGCAATTATTATAACCATAAGAGCGGAAACAGTCGAGTTTAAGCTGCATGCTCGAAACAAGGTCTACTCTTACACGTGGTTCAGGTGTCCCTACTGTAAAACTTCACTCACCATCATCAACTCGCACACCTACCACAGATATGCACATCTAGAGGAACATTCACGACTTCATCTTGCCATTGTGGTGACTAATAACTGTATTAATCTCTTAAAATGGGAACCGTAGAACACTTGGGAGTCTACCATTATGACCGCTGCACTATCCCAGTCATTTCTTTTTCTTTCCTCTTTCTATTATTTGTAGCGTGGTTGTGATCGTTTTTCATTTCTTTATGCTTCGGGAATCTTTTAAGTGCCATTTGACAGTTTACGTAGTGCGCCGTGGCCTGCTGTAGCGCGTTCTAATGCAAGCACAAGCGTTGTGGTACTCATGAGC